TGTCCTGGCATTGGCTATCCAATACAAAATAAAAAACAACATGCTTATGTCATGTCATATACATACATGACAGAATGAATACATTTGAGAACATTGAAAATTAAGGCATCTATACATGGAAAGACTTCATGAAACGAGAGCTTAGCCACACATTGAAAGAAAGCATTTGCAATGGAACTGACAAGGGACACTGTCTATTAGCTTTCCTAAAGCAAGAGGGACAGGAGCCTCCCAGCTGTGTCCTCCCCATCCTGTGAAGGCAGAGAGACCTAAGTAGAGGACCAAGCCCAGAAGGAGGAACTCAACGTACACCTGGTCCCTGATCCAAGGTCCACACTTTCCCATCATTCAACAGGAGGCAGGTGGAGAGCATGCACTGGGCTCAGGCTTGGGCTGGGTGCAGGGTGGTGGGGGGAGGGCTCCAGCCTGGCCCTCTCAGGGGAGCTGGGCCTGTCCCATCCCCTCTCTCTGCCATCATCACTTTCACTTTCCCTTTACAAGAGGCCTGGGTCCTGCTGCACAGAGGAGCCTGTCTCCAGCATAAGTCAGCTCTGTCCAGAGGGAGGGCCTCAGAGGAGGAGGGAAGATGGGTCTGAGGTCGAGGAAGATCACCCTCCAGGGCCCGCCCACCCAACCCCGCTGCCAAAGCAGGAAGAAGGTGGGGCCTCAGCTGAGAAGGCGGGAAAATCCTCCATCAAGGGACTTTCCTAAAACCTGGGCCTGTGAGCAGAAATGAAGCGCCAGCGCCGGAGACCAAGGAGAAGGCGGAGGCCACACTTCACTCCGGTGCCCTGGCCCAGGTACTGCCCCCACTCTGTCCTTCTCTGTAGCCCTTTGTACTTGGGAGCCCTGAGGTGTCTCTGTCCGCAGCCTTGTCCTCCCCCTGGTCTAGCCTGGCTTCTCTCCCGCTCTGGGCACCTTCTCTGCAGGTCCCACTCCAGCGGGGGCTTTGCCCTCTTCTGGGGATGTCTCCACAATGGCTTCTGAATGGCCCCTCCTGCCCCTCGTCCAGGCCTGTTGTCCACTTGGTCCTCCTCACAGTCTGCCAGTTGTGGGGCTGGCTGTCCCCTCCCTGCCCGTGGGGCTGCTGCTCTGTGGCCTTTCCTGTGCCCTCTTGCCCATTAGAATTGCACTAAAGTAGTGATGGCGAACTTTTTAAGCT